AGGGTAAAGTTCACGTTCCTTGTCTATTAAAAACCAGTTAAAAGTGTCTTCTAAAATGACACATGGAAGGAAACAATTGTCATCATGTGCCATGTGGTTCCCAGCTCTGCAGGGTGTCATGGTGTGATGTTTCAGAGCAGTCTGCAGGCCCATATGCAGATTACACATGGGACTTTACTACCAGGCACACAGGTGTTGCTGTAAGCTGTGAGCCCCTAGGTCTTGGCTGTAAAAGGAGATGGTACATGAAGACGTTCCTGGCACAAGGTCACAAGGTACCAGGCCACCTGAGAGCGCAGCTGTGGGACAGGCCATGGTGGTGGCAAGGGATGGTGATAGCATTTTAAAAGGCTTATTTTTCTTAGTGGACTTTCAAGCTGTATTAGCCACTGTATAGTGGCTTCTCTCACTATACTATATAACGTCTTCATTTTCAGATTCTTTTTTTGGCAATATTTTTTTTTCTTGATTTCTCTCACTTTCAAGTACTTCTTAAAATTTAAGTGCTTAAATATGACAGTTATACATTAGTAGAAAATAGTGATCACAAATTCAAATGCCCCCCAAAAGCAGCCTGTTAATGTAAACTGCCCTGGTATAAGACGGACACAGCACAAGCTTGATGACCAAAGGCTACTGCTTGAAAGCCCTAGGTCTGGGACCCTCAGGGCCCGGCAGGGATAGGGGCAAAAGGAGCAGACACACTAGTTGATTGCTACCAAGAATCCAACATGTCAGGATCTACAGGTTTTCAAAAGTAGCCAGAAGTCTGCAACTTTTTTATATGAAAATTTTCATTAAAAATGCTCATTCAGCCAGGCATGGTGGTGCACACCTATAATCCCAGCAACTCGGGAGGCTGAAGCAGGAGGGTAACAATTTAAAGGCCAGCCTCTGCAACTTATGGAGGACCTAAGCAACTGAGAGAGATCCTGTCTCAAAATAAAACATAAAAAAAGCTGGGGATGTGACTCAGTTATAAAGTAGCTCTGGGTGCAATCCCCAGTGCCCCAAACAAATAAACACTGATACACAGAGAAAATGTGGTCAAAAGAACATGGTTGTGGGATCAGGTGGGGCCTGTGATTTGGATGGCTCATGTAGTGACACTGAACTGCAGGTGGATCCACACAGGATCCCTGATAAGGCAGGTAGCATTAGGGAGGTAAAGGTGAATTACAAGGAAGTGAGAGGAGCCTGAAGGACCACATGCAACAGGTGAACGGGGGAGGTTCCATAGAGAGGCATCTGAGTTGATGCAAAGAGGACAGTTCTCATTTCAGCCCAGCTGCTGAATGCTTACCATGAAACCCAAAAGCTGCTAATGCCCTGCTGCCTTGTACAAACTCCTCCATGCACCCCACCCACCTGGGGCTCTCTCCAGCATCATCACTGCTCATGCATGGTCCCCCTGCTGCAAGTCCCACAGGCCATGGTCCCCCCTGCTGCTTCACTCCTTGCTGTGCTCCAAGGCAGTGCTGTGCCCTGTGGTCTCTGGGACCTGACATTGCCCAGCCCTTTGGGGTCTGTTCTTGGCAAAGGCCAATGCTGCTTCCTCTCCTTCACACTTCCACTTCTCCCTCTTCCTCTCCACTCTGGGCTGGCACTGGTGTCTTTGAGCTGTCAGCCACTGAACACTGGCCTACCCGTGTAGCTACCCTTTTCTCCTCTACCAGATGGACAAGGAGCACCTTGCCTTTGGATGAAGGGCTCTCCTCCCTTCCCACATATCCTCATTCTCTCCTCGCTTTTTTTTTTTTTTTTTAATTCATCTCTGTGCTCAAAACTCTACAATCCTATGTACTTTTCCTCTTGACCTAACCCCTGTGCTCATGGTCACTCTCCCATAGCTGCACCTTCAGCCAGCTCTGCACTAAGACCTAGTCTTTTATGTCCAATTTGGGCATTGGACATGTCTGATTTCTGTGCCTTCTGCTGTGCTCACATATACTCCAGCAGATGACACAATCATCTGTCCCTCGCCAAAGCCCTGAGTCCATCTTCCTTCGTGGCTTCCACATCCGAACAGTCACTCATTTTAAGCCCCCTCCACCCATCTTCACCACCACTGCCACCTTTTCTCCAGCATGGCTTCTTTTTACATTCATTTTACAGACAGATTGACTGATTCCACAAAAAGTAAGTCTTGTGGTTCAAGATCTGCTTACAACTGTTCCTTGTTTTCCCAGACCTCTGGAACAGGCTCAAATAGACATAGGCCAGACTGACCCACCCCTGAGCCCACTCCAGTTGTTGCTTTCTCAAAGCTTTCCTCCATCATGACCTCCAACTACTTTGAACTCCTATTTGTTTATTCCATTTGTTCCCTGTGCCACCTCATGGGAGCTACATGGGGTGCAGAGGGATGCAAGGAGCCAGCTACAGTTGATTTCTGGGGTAATGGAGTGAGGCAGCCATGGAACCAGATTCTCCACTCAGGTCGTCCAGCAGTGTCTGCTAGTCAGGATGGTTTTTTTAAACCAACGTGTCTGCCCATGACAATCAACTGGCACTCAGTACTACTCTGCTGCCCCCTATGGGCCTTCTGGAATCACTAATGCCAAGAGTGAAAAACACTGCACTCTCACAGGTGGGATTCTGGACGACAGGTTCTATCTATAAGATGACTGATTAGCCAGAGACTATCCTTAGTCTTGTCTTCATGGCATGTTTGTAAAGTTTAGGGACAACATAAAGCTAGAAGGAACATCAATGGTGCTGTAGGCATACAGAATCAGGGGTCAAAATGCTCTCAAGACACTGGAAGCCCTGATCCTAACAGCTGGCCAGGGATGGAGCTCTTCACTTGGGGCTGAGCAACCATGCAGCAGAGCTGTTCTGAGGGAGAAAGGGAGGGGTGACTTTATCACAGCCTTAGGAGGAAAGACGTGTTCTTAAATTCAATTTGATACATGTGTGAAGATGTGAATTTGGTGTCAACATACCTTATATATAATCAGAGATATGATAAATTATGGTAAAATGGTGTATTAAGAATTGTAATGCAAAAATAAATAAATAAATAAATAAATAAAAATTCAATTTGAGGAAAACTGCATGTGATATGGTTCAAAGAGCTAACAGAAACTTAGAATGCATTTCTAAGAGTATGGTTTTGGGATGAAGAAGGTTATAATCTCTGCTAACTATGCACTGTTTAAAGTGTACTTAGAGCAACAACATCAGTTCTGGACACAAGGGACTCACGGAAACAGCTTCCCAGATGACCATGAGAGGGACTGAAAACTGTGAGTTTAAGGAAAGCTTTAAGGAGCAGAAACATCTCCTGGTTACAGGTCAGTGAAATGTGACAATCAGTCAGTTGCTACAGATTTTGCAGTACAGAAGAGAAATTAACTCTGGTATTGTTTCAGGAGACAAAACTATAAGCATAATTACTAAACCAAGAGAGAAGCTGACTCAGGAGCAGTCCAAGGAAGAGCACAACAGAGGCAAGAAACAAGTATACTGGGCATGGTGGGTGGAGCCTTGGCGGAGGTACCTGATTCTTTACTAAGTTGGCAAAAGAGACTTCAGAATGCAACCAGGCCAGGAGCAGGATTATGTGCTTTCTAGTGCCTCCCACCTCTAAGAAGTTCTGAAATCTGGTGAGCAATCTCCTTCACTGCTTAGGCAGATTCCATGCCTAATGGACAGTGATACTTTGTACATAGGCCAATATTCCAATTAGAAATTTGGGACTATTGCAAGTTGTGCAGTTACGAAGTCCAACTGAATTTTATTTGCACCCCTTACAGGAAGCTTCCGAGTCCCTTGGGTCCAGAACTGATGTTGTTCCTCTAAGTACACTTTAACCAGTGCATAGTTAGCTGAGATTACAACCTTCTTCATCCCAAAGCCATACTCCTGTTTCTCTTTTCTACTATAATTCAACAATATCGTAATTATCTCTGGGGGAAGGTTGAATTATCTCTTCATCTTTTCTTCCACTTGCACCATGAAGGAACTCAAAACACAAGTCTTAGTTTGATTTTAGGATCTTCAACTGAAATAAAAACATGACTGGTACAACTGTCCATTACATTTTACAAAAATTGTTTTCAGTATGAACCACATATCAGAAACACTTGTGGAGCTTTAACACTACCAGTGAATTGAGCTTCATTCCAGACAGATTGAATTGCACTCTCTGGGACTGTCATCCCCTCCACCTCACCAAGTTCCCAGATAACTAACTCTAAGGAAAGCCAGGGCTAAGAACCACTGGCTTATCTGAGAGAGCTGAAGACTATTATTTCTAAATTAACACAAACTAATACAATGGGCCCCAACCCTTTCTGAAGAGGACACGGGTCTTCTTTCCTCTCCCATCTTATGATCATGGCTTGCTGCTGACATTGAGGGGGTTTGGGTGTGTGGCATAGGGGTTGACCTGGACTATCTGCACAGCACATGTTAGAAGAAGCCTTTGTGATTATGATAAAGACGGATTATTTAAAAAGGCTTAAAAAACTGGGCAAAGGCTAAATAAATAACATCTTCTGAGAGTGTGCCTATGCAAACTTAGTGACTGATAAATATCAGAGCATTTCTGATTCTCAAAGCATGAACTTGACGTAAAACATTGGGGAATCTCTAAAATGATGTTTAGGAAGATAGGAAGTAACACTGAAAAATACACGAATGAGGCTAAAATGAAAAAAGAATTCAAAATCGTTCCTGTAACAAGATACAATCTGTCCAACAGTTATATAACTTATGAGGAACCCAGACAAATCAAGAGTCACCAACTGAATATAACTTCACATAAGTGCCCTCTGGTAATCTGAACAAGAAAGGGAACAGCTCTATACCTTCTGTGCATAGAAAGCACAAGGGGATCCTGCCTTATGTATTCTCTTTGGATGATATTCAGGTATGATGCTACAAGGCCAGGGCACAAAGTGATTTCACTGTCATCTGCTATACGACCACTATACATAAATAATGAGAAGAAACTATTTTTGTACTTATAATGCAGCTTACAGCACCTTCCATACCTGGCCCAAGCAATGGTGACCGATTCAGCTGTGTGCTGGCCTGGTGCGGGGGTGGTGTCCCGCCCCGGTGTGCAGGGTTGCTTGTGGAGGAGGGGGTGGTGGTGGTGGTGGTGGTACTGCTCTGGATAACTGGGTTGTTTCTATCCCACATGTTTACAGTTTTATTGTTGTAGTTGCTTGGGTCCCCCCAAGCTGAGGTACCGTCATCAATTTCCATCTTTCGCCGGATGGACGGTGGAGAGGGTTCTTCCCAGCCAGTTGCCTCACTGCTGTCCTTCTGCTTGACTGGCACTGGGCCTCCAATCCAGCCTGTCCCTGTCTGTTTAACAGAAGCAGCTCCTCCCCAGTTACTCACATTGTTGTCTTGGGACTTGTTTGCCCAGTTCTGTTGGGGACCAGGTTTTAGGGACTCCCCCCAGTTGGTACCTGGATTCACCTTTGTATTTGTGCTGCTGCCCCAGCCACTGGTCCCAGATCTTGTGGCATCATTCCAACCAGACCCTGATCTATTACTCTCAGCATCCCATCCAGAGCCATTTTTCTTCCCATCCCCCAGGTGTCCAAGGACAGATGATGAATCTGCCCAGTCTCCCCCTCCTGCACTCCAGGATGGATTTGATCTTTGTCCATCTCCCCAGTTTTGGGATTTGGGTTTTTGAGGCTCACCCCAGGTGGGTGACTTGTCCTCCTGATTCACGGTCCCACTCCAAGCATGGCTGCTCTTGGCAGCAGCAGCATTATTAACAGCAGTAGAGCTTATCGAGTCCCCCCAGACCCCAGGGCCACTTGGTGCTTTGTTGTTGCTGTCTCCCCAGCCTGTGTTTGCTGGCACAGCAGCAGGCGGTGAGCTGGCCCACCCCGATACTGAAGAGGTATTTGTACTGTTCATGATGGACCCATCGTTCTTCCCCCCTGAGTTTGAAGACTGAGTAGCTGCACAACCCCAGGCCTCTGTCCCATTGTCATTTTTTCTTTCTGACCTAGGGGATTCTTCAAATTCCCAGGCAGTGTTTTGCTTTACAGGAGTCTGTCCCCAACCAGTGTTGGACAGAACTCTTGGGTCGAGATCATTCCTTGGCAACTGGATATGTCCCTGGTCTATCACCCCTTTATCCCGCCTCCGGCCCTCTCCTGCTCCTTCCCTCCCAGGGCCTCCTTCATTGTGATTGCCAGACCCATCACTACTCCCTTCGCTCGCTGTAGTTCCAGAAGATGCAGCTTTGGCCCAAGAGTTCACATGTTCACTGCTAGGCTGCAAGGCAGGAGTCTGGCTGGCAGAGCTGGGGCCATCCCACCCTCCTGGTCCTTTCCCACTGATGTCGCTACTGGAATGCTGGTTTGGGAGCTTTCCCCACTCCCCATTCATACCATTAGAGGAGCCTCGGCTGGGGTGGCCCCACGCTCCTGAATGGATGTTACCAATGCCACTGCTGCCACTGCCACTGCCCCTCCCCCAGGCAAGTACCCCAGGACCTGCAGGAGGCCCCGAGTCCCAGGCGCTCCCTCCCCGTTCTTCCTTTTGCACAGCACTGCTGGATCCATTTTGTTTAGCACTTAATGCTGAGTTCACAGTGTCTGCATTCCCCTGACTGAACCCAGAACTGCTATTTGCTGTGGCAGGGTTACTGGGGGTCAGTCCCCACACAGAGTTGCTTATCCCTTCGCCCCCACCCCCACTGCCTTGAGAAGCCGATGATCCATTAGCACCAGGAAGGCCTTGCAGATGGGGAGGGAGGATGGCCCCCATGCCCACAGCCACGCCCCAGTTGGGCAGTCCATTAGTCTGCATTGCATTGACAGGGTTTGGTGAGGAGCTCATGGGGTTAGTGTTATTTGGTCCATCAGTGTTAAGGTTCTGAGGTTGTAGGCTGAAAGACACATTCTGAGACGTGGACGTTTGTGGTTCTGTGCTCTCTTGTGGCAGCAAGTTTCCCCACGCACCTAGAGTGCCTGTTGGATTCCCATTCTGGCTGCCCATATTCTGACCTATGGCACTGACTGGACTGCAAATACTGGAAGGGTTGCCTGTGGCCACAGTTCCTTCGTGCCCAAGTACAGGCCAGGCAGCTGGGTTGGCATTAGGACTAAGGTTAAGGTTAATGCCGGCACTGGAGTTGGAAGCACCCCAGCAATTCTGACTTCTCCCATCGCCAATCATGGTGTCCATTTTCCCATCCCCACCACTGACAGAGCAGTGAGCCAGGCCAGAGCTGGAGCTGGTGGCTACGCCCCACGCTCTGCCTGTGCCTCCACTCCCGTTAGCTCCTGCTGCCCCAAGGGCACTCTGATGAGAAGGGCTTTGGACCAGTGCGCTGTTGGTGCCGTTATTGCCATTTGTCTTCTTGGTATGTCCTGTGAAGCTGCCCTGGGCACTCCCTGTAGCCATGCTACTGTTTTCTGAGCCACAGTTGGAGGCAGAGTCAGTGTCTGTAGGACATTCTGAGGCAGATTCAGTCTCTGTTCCTGTGATGGAAGGCCACGCCTCCTGGTCAGTCCTATCTATTATCACTTTTTCCCAGCTGCAGTTGGCATCGCTTCTGTAAGAGGGCTGCTGTCCCCAGTGGGAATTTTCATAATGATCTGTCAGTCCACTGTGACCAAGATCTAAAAAAGATGAAAGAAAATTCAAAATTAGATTTTCCTCCCATTTGTTAATGAATCAACTGTCAAACAGTCTTTGGGGAAGTTCTTTGTTTCAAGTTTTCAATTCTGAATGACAAATGCTAAAAGTGACATTAAAAAAAAAAAAAAAAGGCTATGTATCTTCTTAATGGCTCCCAGTATAAAGAGAGGTAATGTTTCTAAAATTACATTATTTCTCACCACCACATCATAATTTCACCCCCTTGCGCAGAGGCACAATGTATGGGAATGGCTTCACTTGAAAGTGGCAGCTCTGGAAATTTTGACCAAGCAACTCCTATGAACAGGTGGACTCTGTGGAGCACTGGCGAGGACGCTGTGTTCACATGGGCCATTGAGTACAGCTTGTGGTGCTCCTCTTCCCGACTTCTAGTTAGTTACGGTATCCCTAGAACCCTATGAAGCTCTTTCAGTGGAAGAACTGTAAATGCTTTGCGGAGTCACATAATAGCCAATAGTTTGGGGAGAGGGGAAGGCAAGGAGAGAGAAGACATATTAGAGAAAGTTACCTTCCGTTATCCAAGATACTAAGTGTTAGAAATGTTTCACTGTATTTACTACTTTATCTGGTCTAATCTGTAATTTGCTTTATCACTGTTTCTTGTGCATTAATTTAAAAAATTCTTGACTCTACAATTGGTATCTTTTTGGATTTCTAGGGATTCCTTCTGAACTTATTTTCTTTTTAAAAATGTTTTTATTTGTTCTTTTTAGATACACGTGACAGTAGAGTGAATTTTGATGTAGTATACATACGTGGAGTATAACTTATTCTAATTAGCATCCCATTCTTGAGGTTGTACATGATGTGGAGTTTCAATGGTTGTGTATTCATAAATGAACTTCTATACTTAAGTATCTGTCATTTCATAACTGCATTTTATCTCCTGTGATTTTCTAATTATTTCCAATGTTGTAATCAAACTTACATTTCAATAAATTTTCTAGTAGGCTATTCAAGTATGTATTACTAAAAAATAAAAGTAATGTTTGAAAATCATTAAAACAAAAGGTACAACAAACACATGTTGATATCCTTAGTGGAGTTTCTTTAAATACACTGTGAAATTTTTCCTTCTCTTTTAGATTCCTGTAATTATGTTCTCTTCAAATTTATTGCAATTAGATCTTATTTGTGGAGGGCTGGTGTTGGGGCTCAGCGGTGGAGCACTTGCCTCACACGTGCGAGACCCTGGGTTCGATCCTCAGCACCACATAAAAATAAATAAATAAATAAAATAAAGGTATTATGTCCAACTACAACTAAAAAATAAATATTAAAAAAAAAGATATTATCTGTGGAGAGTTAAAGCATGGTCTTCCCAAGGAAGTTCCCCTTTAAAAAGCTTGATGAAATTAGCTGGGAGTGGTCACACTGGTCACCTTAGCAACTTGGGAGGCTGAGGGAGGAGATCTCAAGTTCCAAGCCAGCCTAAGCAACTTAGTAAGACCCTGTCTCAAAATAAAAAAAATGGGTTCAATTCCTAGCACCACAAAAGAGGGAGAAATAGTTTGATGACACTAAAGGAAAAATAAGAAAGTATGTAAAAATGATCATACTTGCAAAAGATTATTCTAAAGTTGATATCAACCTTAAAAAAGAGAGCTTTGTTGCCTGATTAAAAGTAATATGATGAATTTAGAATTATGCTCCAGGTCATTCCAAAGTAGGTAGGCAATTCCAGGTGAAAATGAAAACAAGTAACAAAAAATTTTAAGTACCTAAATTCCTATAAAACAACCAGGCTTTCTCTTGTTAAATGTTAGGGGCCAACTCTCTTAACTCTGGTTTATGATAATTTCCCCTCTTGGTTTTGCAAGTATTCTGAAAAACTAGCTTATGCAGTAACTAACTGAAAGGGATCAATGAGCCACTCATCATTAACACAGAGAGCAAGCCCAAGCTTCTAGACTGCAATCATGGCTTATAGTCAGCAAATTCTGCTGGAGTTCATTTCATCATGTCCAGTTTCCCTTGAGGACAGGCTCTGCCTTGAGGCAGGCCACTCACCTCTAAACTAGAGCAGCAGGGGGTCAGCAACCTGGACTAGCCAGTTGGAATACACAGTACCACCATTTCTGTGCCATAACTGTTGCACTGTGGAACATGGGCCTTGCCTTAATGGTCTGCTGCGAGGATCTGTGTGAACTGATGTCTGAGGCTCACTCAGTCCACATTTAGAGTGGTCATACATGGGATGAGTGACAGGCTGAAGAAGACAGCACCAGGCTAGCAGAGAGGGGAGGACCAGCTACTACTGAGTGCTGCTAGACAACTGCCTGCTCACATGCAAAGAAAAAAAAAGAAATTCCCTTATTTAATACCATACACAAAAACACACTCTACATAAGTAAAACACATTTAGGGGTGGTACCGTCTCAGAGTCTTGGGAGGCTGAGTCAGGAGAATCAGGAGTTTAAAATCAGCCTTGGCAACTTAGTGAGAGACCTGTCTCAAAGCAACTTTGAAAGACTGTCTCAATTCCTGGTACCAAAAAACAAAAACAAAACCAAAAAACAAAAATAAAAACCTGCAAAACCCTTTAAAGCTTAATAAGGAAATACAGGAAACTTATTTCTGGGACCTCTGACATTGTATCTTCTTACAGAAGACATGAAATGCATAGCCATAAAACATTGATAAATTTGGCTACATTAACATTGAAACATCTATACAACAAATGACATCATATACTGAAAAACAAAACATAAGCTACAGGCAGGTAGTAACAGATAAAGGACAATTATCAGAGTAAAGAACTTTTATAAATCATTAAGAAGAAGACCCAAAACCTTACAAATAATGAAGAAAATCCAGGAACAGGCATTTTAGAGAAACAGTGACTAAAAATCAATCTGATCACTGGATCAAAAATCTAATTTCTCAGGGCAAGTTCCTCAAGGGTATAGATGGTACCTTCTTAGTTCTATATCCACAATGCTTGTCACATATTAGGTAACCAATGTCTCCTGGATGAACAAAGGCATAAACGTTTGAGACCAAATGCGAGTTCTTGCTAAGTCAGTCACTTCTCAAGTCTAAAAAGATAATGTTGAGTTATATTAATCCCTAAGGTTCTTGGCTCTAAAATTTGCAATTTCTAGAGCTTACTAGAAATTGTATTCTGGTACAATACACATTAACATAAGAATCACATATACACAAATTCAAGCTGCATATTTGGTGTGGTCAATCTCAACTATGATATGAAATCAAAGATGTTTTTAATGTGATAAAATACACATTAACACGAAATTTACCATTTTAACCCTTTTTTGAGTACAGAATTCAATGGTATCAAGTATCACCAGCATCACCATCCATCTCTAGAAATTCCCCATTGTCCCATACTGAAACTGTGCCCACTGATTCTTCTGCACTCACTCCTCCAGCCCCTGGTAACTCCCCTATTCTGTCCTCTGTGGGTTTGATCATGCCAAGCACCTCCTGCAAGTGGAACCACACAGCATCTGTCTTTGTGTCTGGCTTGCTCCACTTGAGTGGAATGCTTTGAAGGCCCACCCATGCTGGTGAATGAATTCGATCACCATTTGCATTGGTGGTTGATCAATACTCCATTGGGTGGACAGGCCACATTTTGCTGCTTCTCCCTTTTGGTCTTTTGAGAACAGGGGCTGTGAGCACTAGTGCACAAGGATCTGCTGCAGTCTCTGTTTTCATTCTTCTGGGCATCAGACTATCCTCCACACCAAATGCACCACCCCATACTCCCACTAGCAACATGCTCTAATTTCTCCACATCCTTGACAATACCTGTTATTTTAAAAAAAATTTTTTTTTAAATAACAGTTATCCTGGTGGGTGAAGTGGTATGTCACTGTGGTTTTGATTTTTATTTCCCTAAAGATTAATGGTATTGAACATCTCATGTGTAAAGCAAAGATATTTTTATAATCAAATTTGTTTATTCTGTTTAAAATGAACAGAGTCAAGAACCAGGAAATAGACTGTTCGCATGTACTGCTCTGGAAGGGCCCACCACAAAGGCAGCACACTTGTGTAATCCTTCCCAGGCTGAGGTGCACACCAGTGGGGAGGAACTGACAGGAAGCAAAGTCTCTTCTACACAGGGCAGGTGTGCAGGCATCCCCAACAGCCAACACCCAATAAGAGCAGGAGGAAGCCATACCTGTTGAGTTCACACATGGGCATCTCCAAAATCCTTTCACTAAAAACAAAACCCAATCCCCCCTCAAAACACCCTCTTGTCCAGGTGGCATGACGGCATTCCTGGAAGATTATACCAGCTTGCCCAGTCTCATTCCATTCCTAATCCCTATCGCTATCTTCAGTGCTGCACCAAGATTCTTCTCCAAAGCCATGGGTCCTGAGTGCTCACCCAAGCACTTCAAAGTCCGCCTCTCTTTTGAGGTCTCACCTTGTATCACTCCTTCCTTTGCTCTGGGCTCTAGCTCAGCCAGTCCTCAAGGCATTGTTTGTACCCTGCCCTCCTAAGACAGGGCCATTGGAGAGCTGCCCCTGCCTGGACTCAAGATCTACTTTGCTTTCCTATCTCAACTCAGTGCACATCCACTTTGAGAGACTTTCTTTCTCCAATTAGGACCCTCTGCCATATTATTAGTCTTCCTTTCCTGTTAACCCCTTTAGATCAGGTTGGCAACAATTGCTGCACAGGGTTAGAGGGTAAATATTTTATGATTCCTGGGCCACTGGTCTCTGTTTGCTGTGGTGGTATAAAAGCCACTACAGATAATGCATAAATAAACCAGTGTGGGTGTGTGTCCAATGAAACTTTATTTACAAAGACAGGTGGTGAATCAGAACTGGATCATGGGCCCACAGCTTGCCAACTTCTGTTTAATGACACATTTCCTGGTCTGTTATGAACAAGCTAAGTGTTGGGCTCAGAAGAAAGACAACACCTTTTCTTATGGAGCACCCAGCCCAGAGCAAGCTACCAAGCAATTGCTGGCTGGTC